AAATACAGTTGATAAATCCTTTTAATATATTTAATGGTTTATAAAAACATCGTAATCATTACCCAGCAATATTTAGGGTTACATAAAGTTTTCTTTACTTGATTAATATAATTAGTAATACTTGAGATAAAAGCATTTGTACGGAATAACAAAGGAACATAAATATTTCTCAGCAAACTTTATATCTAAAAAATTAGTTATAGTTGCAAAACTTTTGTAACATTACTAAAATAGAGATTAAAAACACGAACAGTGAGTAATAATGTAATTTCTATCACAGAACCTTCAAAATTGCATCCAACATTTTCTTTGACTTGGACGAGAGATGGGCGCGAGTGTCATTTCATTTCTTTAGAACTAAATTAACATAATTCTCGTTGTTTTACCAGTTCACATGATTTACGGATTTTAAATAAAGGATACAAATCTTCGCGAGGATAATACGATATATTTGCTATATATAATAATTATATTGTACATAGTTTACACACAATACATTTTTGAACGCGTACGCATCTTTACCCGAATTTGACGCGCAATATCTCCGATGTCCGAGGTCTGTAGGTTCGCAGTGTGTACAACTGCTAGTCAATTATTAGCGCTGTTGCCACATCTACATAGTCTTTATGCGTTCATTAAATATAATTTAAAACTACTTAAATATGATATTTTTATGTTGTTAATTAATCAATTTGTATTCTATGTGCATATGAGTAGATTTCTTTGCTATATAGATAATGTTTATCGTAAATAATTTCAATTGAATTTAATTTTTTCAAATTGGCAGCGGGCTTTAGACCCATAAGAAAAGCATAGGACCCTCCCTGCGCTCCTCACTTCCCTCGGACTCCAATATACCTCCTTAAGTACCTACGTTGCTATTTACCATTACCTAAGACTTTGGACCAACCTATAGACAACCTTGTATCTTCCGAACTATGCATCTTTGCTCATCTACTGACCCCCATCATAATCTTAAATTCTGTTTACGTCAACGCGTCCCAATTTTCCAATTTACTTTACCCCCCGATAAGATTTATGAGTTTTTCCCAACAATACTTAATCACGCTATTATAATTCCTTGAAATTAGAAAATCGTGTTCCATATACCGAATCGTTAAAAACGTTTTAGTTTCACAAAGGAATTTTAAGTGCTATAAAGAAGCGCCATTAGCCTTAAAAAAGCAATTTAGCGAGAGGTATTGGTTATGGTTACACGCGACGTACTCGTCCTTTTTTGTCCTGGCGCTTTCTATTTTGATCATTTTGCCTATCTATCCGTCGTTACTTTCTAACATTACGCCTTGAAATGTCATTAATTCAGATCAAAGCGAAGCTAAAGTAGATGGATGCTCCTCGTCGTTTAGCTGGGAACGTATGCTGTGTAAGTACTGGGTGTTAAAAAGGCTTAAAAAATCTTAAAAGAGAAAAATTCAACACAAACACGCCATTACACAGTTCAGTACAAGACTATCCTAACTCAAAAAACAATGAACTGAGACAACTAAGGTTAAAATTTGTAACAATCAACGAATATTTTTGAAAAAAAAATAAAATACAATGTAATAAAGATCATTTGCAGCAGTCTCGATCTAAAATATTTAACCTTTAGAAGAGATTAGGGTTGTTATCAGCTGTTGAGTATCAGCAGATGTAAAAACACGAAGATATTTGATATATTTATCGATATCTTCTAGAAAACTGCAGTTTATAATCGAGAAGGAGATTTGATAGATTAATTTATGTTTAGATACTTAAATAAATACGAACCGTTCTCGAATTTATACAATTTTTATTTTGTTATTTCAATTAGATATCGAGTTTTATTCAGTTCTTGTCGGTAAAGCGTTGTTTTTGATTACATCTTATCTAGTTTTCAAATCTATGCCAACTGTTGGATCCGTTTGGATTTTATGTAAAGATATGTTTCTCATGAAACGCATTTAAGGCAAAATATAAAAACATCTTGAATTGTTTCTGTATAATCTTCATCTACATTCGCATGATTGTTAATTTTATTGAAAAATGAAACACTTAAGTACCCATTTGCATATCGCTGTAGGTACATTTATGCATAAATCAAAATGAAGGTGTTGCATGAAGTTTTTGCTGGCACTTTAATTGAATGTCGTATCGCGTTATAATTTTCTGTTTTACTGGACATGTTATACCTACTTTTATGAGTTTACTATTGCAAATACTTATAAATGCAAATTGTGAATTAAAGAATCGGTCGATATGTTCCTAGGATATCACTTTTTACACGAAATCGTATTACTGTCGAAGGAAAAAGTGTGAGCCTTATACATTTGTTTGGTTTATTTTGGTTCAGCGTGACTAAAGCGCAACTACTTTCTATCGATCTTCTAGTAAGTAGCCTCTTAATACGGTTTTCAAAAATTTGAGTATATAAATTTACCTATATATCGTTATTTAACTGCAAAGGATTTGTCTAAACTTACTAACAGTGCCTAAAAATTTGTTTCTCTAATTTTTTGGAAGTTACCTATAGTAGGATCATATTCGAAGCAAAGTAATAAATCATTGCCTGTCAAGGGAACCAATGAAGTACGCTTTTAAGGGTTTTACAAATTGAATAATTTCTTTATACATTATGAAGAGACGAGGGGATCAGTTCAGGTCTGGTACCCTTGTTCCTACAAAAATTCCTTTATTCTCATAAACTATTTATTTTAAATGTAATTTATTATAAATCCAATTTGTTTCCTAAATTCCACATATGTACTACATTTTACCTCTGTACGCGCCACTGTTGTTTACTTGTTTTTTGGAAGCGCTCTCTAATTGACGGCAAAGCTCGCCAGGTTAGTATTTGACGTATAACCGACCAGTTCGTACACTCGATGCACCTGGGCGACTACAGCTACTACCAGAACACAGTGCGTATGCAGCGGTATTTCAGATTTTACATTGAATTTCATTTTAAATTTGAAATGATTTATCTTACGCCTCCTAAAAATGATGACACGATTTTCCTTTGATAAAAGGCCGACAATTTTTTGCTCTACTTTGCATCGTATACGATCCTACTATAG